TTCCTGTATGTTGCTTAGAATTCAGAATTCCACTCCTGAATGATTTATAACCTGGAAAAAATGCATACAAAATTTTCAAAGCAACTCTGCCAAAATATGCATGAGGAAGCTCAGAAGCCAAATACTATGAAAATGTACCACTTGCATCCTTTAGGGTCTTTCAAAATTCCAGTTCTAAGGCATGTTTTTCATGCTTTGATGTTTGTTAATATCTTAATCCTGAAGAACCACCATTGAAGACTGGCACACTAAGGTGAGAATGACTATTAGGAGACTTGTCCGTGGACATCAGATTCACAAGTCTGGGGATATTTTCCCCTTGAAATCAGTTTGTTATACAAATTTCTGCATTAAACTTCACACTTTCCCTAGAGTTGTGGGACTAGCAGTATAGCACAGTGCACAAACACTAAAAGTCATACTTTTTGCAACAGATACGAGACTTTTTGTTGAACTAAGTACCACTACTGTTACCTTTTTAAATGTCTCCAGACTAGGAGATAATTTGCACTATTTGCAATGTATAGTGGGGAAAACCTCCCCTCAGTTTAAAGTATCAGGAAGTTCTGGAGAAGTGGAGATAAGCAATCTGGAGACAACTTCTGATTGTTTCTCTCCTACTTGACAAAAATTATTCTTGCAGCTGAGCATTTGTTGATGAAAAGATCAACGTTTTCATCCGCTCTAGCAGCAATGCCTCTTTTCTGCCATTTATCCTATTGATTAGAGTAGCCTTGTACAACAGGTCAACAGCAAACTGCCTTCTCTCTGTCACCACTATTGCTATGGTTATGCATGTCAACCACTTCAGAATAAGGTTGGGGGGAGGAGTAAAGAAAAAACAGTTCTTTTCTCATATCTCATGAACATATAAGGCTGTCCTTGATGGAAGTGTTATTCTTAGGAAACAAATTTTTGAGAAAGCAAAATAATTTGACTCTTGGATTTGCATCCTTAGAAGTTCCTTCTCATTTGCCAGTCCTCACTAACAAAATAAATAATTCACATAGATAAAGACTTCATATATAGACACATCTTCTGGCAAAAACAAGCTTAGAATTTCAAGAAATCAAAGCTCCTTCAACAATCCTACCCTCATACATCCTTTCTGTCTTTGATCTGCTCTTTTGGAAACAGCACCAAGAAATAAAGACAAAAAAGGCATTGACTCAATGACAGTGCCAGGGAAGGGTCACAACTGGACTGTATCTGAACTGTGCATGGCTTAGCTCACAGGTAAGCTTGCAATAGAATAAAGTCATGCCCAAATAATGTATTTTTTTCACAGAAAATCGAGAAGATGCTAAACCAGAAGTCGTTGCGATTAAATCGAAGAAAGCCAAGGAAGGAAAGAATGTGAATGCTGTGTGTTTGGCAAGGAATTTCTATCCAAAGAACATCAGTTTGGAAGTATCTTCAAATGAAGTTGTATATGAACAGAATGAACCCATTGTGACATCTGAGGGGACGTACAGTACTATTAAAGTGGTTCAGGTGACACCAGAGACAGAGGTGACTTGCAAGGCCAAGTTCAAAAACATGACTTTTGCAGACAATGGAACATCATCTGCAGGTACAATTTTGTGGTACAATTACAACTTATTCCTGAGGGTAGTAATGTTCCAACACTTACTGTTGCCCCTTCTGAGAAGCA